CCCCTTGTTTGTTGGCTGTGATTACCACTGCTAGTCTCACTGACGTTCATGTTTTGTAGTTTTGCTCTTTCTGCTGACAACTCATAGAATCAGTGTACAAGCAGTCTTACTACAGAGTTTCTGTCTTCTTGGCTGCAGCACTGTGCAGCATTTACAGCTGTTAACAAACAGATTATAAAAATACCATGAAAACAGAAGACAATAATGGAAAGTTAAAGGGAAGATCTCAGAAACCTCCCAAATTGACAATATGGCAATTGCTGCACTACAGTATTACATAAACACCCACTCATTAGGCATGTTTTACTAGTGAAATTCTCTCCAACTCAGATGAAAATATGTATATATTACCACCACTCCTAGCATTAAAGTTTGAACTACATACTTTCAACAAAGTACATCTCTATCGCTTTGAAGTTAAAACAACTGATAACACTCAAAGTCTACTGCCAAAACTCTCCTACTTGATGGTCAGAAGGCATAACTGTTAAATAAAATCCATGCTCAAGCCACACAACTAACATACTTCCCAGCTTCAAGAATTCCTGCACCTTGGAGACCACTATATCTCTGTGATCAAGACATTAATGGCAGGCCTCTGGAATCCCTCGGCCCAGCTACTCATCCATTCCCAGATGCCAAGCTGTTCTTGCTCGACTGGTACTGCCTCCCATCATGCAGTAATTCTTAACTGAATATTTGTGAAATATCTGAATTTTTGTCTGAGTATGCAGCTGTGAGAAAAGGCAGAGAGGGTGCATCTGAAAAATATCAGAAGGGCATATGAAGGAGGCAGGGAAATAGAACTGGGGATTTCTAAAATACTTCAGCAATTCTGAGATCAAGATGCCCTTCAGTGTAAGGAGTTACCCCTCGTTTGTTCTGAATCCCTTCTGCTCCCACGGGGGGTTCTCAGCCCCACATAGGTAGGCATTCGTTGGATGCTTGTCAGAGGTGGTAAGAGTAATCCTTCCTGCCCCGTACCCTTTGGTGGCTATCCAAAAAACCAAGAGAATTGGAAGGAGGGGGAAAGAATGTGTGAGTCACAAGGGGATGATTTTTCATTTGTAAATGGCATTTGTAAGGTTGATTTTGAAATACTTCCTCCAATTCTGACAACTGAATTTTCAAGAGGCTACTTGGGCGGGGCTGGGGGGGGGGATCAGAAAAGGTGCAAACACAAAGGACTCAGAAGATAGAAAGATATACAGCAGGAGATTGAAACATTTTAGTTCACTGGAGATATCAAGGTGATTTGATTGTAACAGCTTAAGTTGTAAGAACTTCCCACAGGAGAGAGATACTAGATACTAAGTCTGGTTTGTAGATGTGATGCAAAAGCTAAAGTAATTTCAAATTATAAAGGTAATTTTTTAGCAGATGGGAGGACAAATCATTAGAATAAGCAATCATTGTGAGAAAGCTCTTAGGCCCACAAATCAAGGCTGGGTATCTTCTAAAAGATTTACCTCCATCAAGTTACTGGGCTTTGCACACAGATAGCATATAAAGTTTATATCGACAGAAGACCAGACTTAAGGATGTAATGGCCCTTCTTGGTCTTAAAATCCACAAATATTTTAGTAGAGAAGTACAGTGTGCTGTGATGTGACTGCTTGTTATGCTTCTGGATTCAAGTCAGTCGACCAAGTACACTCCTGAAGGCTATATATGCTGGGTGAAGAATAAAGCACCCTTCTATCACCAAGCAACACAGTGTTCTTGATGTCATATGATTTTTCTCTCCCATGAAACATTATACACTAATATCAGTCTGCACAGAGTTTTCTCAAAACAAGGTACCAAATCACTTTTGGGACATAAACTAACAAAATAGACTGACATGGGCAGTTCCAGGAGGCAGTTGGGATTTTCCACCAACCATCTGTTGTTTAAATAAAATTGAGCAGTTGCACATATCCAGAGACAGTTACTAATCCAGGTTGCCTTTTAAGCTTTGTTTGACAGCAAAGAAAAACAACTTAGCATTTAAAATTCATTAAATATTTTCACAACCATTCCAGCTCCCCTGGAAAAAAATGAAGCTATCCATCTCCACCTCGAGTACGATCCAATGCAGATGTGAGTTTTCACAAAATTTAAGTATATACTTATGCAAGTAAGCATAGACACTTCAGGTATCACTCAGAATAACAGATTTACAGGGTAAGAAACAGACTACTCCATACAGCTTGTTCATTGTTCATGTCCATACTCACTTTTTCCTGTGATTCTGGTAAGAACCATATAGAATGTTTCACTACAGTCTGTTAAGAACATCAGACTTCACTACAGCAATTCTCCTATGAAATCTCTGATGAGAAGTATAAAGATGACCAATCACCTCTGCGTCTATACATGTATCGAGAAATACAGGACAGTAAAACACAAAAGCAGCGTGGTTATCTTGCATTTAGAGAAAGACACACTATAAACAGCAACAAAAATCTTTGCTGAAAGCATTCTGTGTTACTTTTGTTTATAGAAACAAGTCCTGTGTACCTCAATACAGTTTAATCCTATGATTCCCAGGAAATTTTTGTTGCTTTTTTAGGAATGCATACCATATATACAATGCAGATATAGTAATATTTAGTCCATATATTCTTCTACACATACACCTACATATTAGTAGTATTCATCTCTAGCTATCCTAAATATCCTAGATATTTAACATTCTTACCATCTGCAAGGTAAATGGCATACTTTCTCATGTATTCTTAATCTAAAAATTACTGTCATTTTCATAAATTGGACACATGTCCAATGAGAACTTGTAATTGCTGAGGTAGAGATCTCTTCCAGATCCAGTAAGAAATTAAAAAAATCCCTTAGTTCATCAAGACTGGGTACCTATGACTTTAAAAGTCCTTTAGAGGACTTTTCGTACCATCTATGATCAAGTGATCACAATTCTCTCATCAGTACTCATTCTTGAATCACTTTCTGATACTAGTGAATGTCATTTTTTACAATAGCTGCTAACCACAGAAGAGGTGGATCAACTGGAGAAAGTACAGAGGAGTTTAACAAATGGGCTCAGTAGTTTAGAAAGCATGTTCTACTGAAAGAAGTGGGTTTGTTTAGTCTAAAACAGAGAAGACTGAAGAAAGATATGATAACAGTCTTCAACTATGTAAAAGGTTGTTGTAACAAGCCTTCTTCATGCCCACAAAGGATAGGGTAAGAAGCAATGGATTTAAATTAGAGCAGACATGACTTAAAGATCAAGAAAGGCATTTTACAGGACACTGGAAATTTAAGCTTTAAATTTTATATGCTTACCTACTTGAAAATTATGTTAAATATATAAATGTAACAAGAACTAGATTTACTAATTAGCAAGTACTGTAGCACAAATGGATAACGGATCCATTGCGGAGGACCACAACGTTTGTTGACATGGAGACTAGGGCAAAACCACCCAAGTGCTGACATAGAACCATGTAACTCAATGAATCAGATAGATTCATTTCTTCTTCCATAATGGCCAAAAGCTGAAGATCTGTGCTGTACAATTACTTGATAACTAGCTCTTACTTTTGCTTAAGAATGCTTCAATTCTCACTTTGTTGCTGACTTAGTTCACTTTGAGCACAAGGACAGAATTTCAAAATTCTAATAATAATTCTGATTTGGTCAGGGGAGCTCAAAATGAAAAATAACAAAAAATGTTCAACAAGGTAGCTGTTCTCCCTACATCATAAGTTCAAGTAAATCATTTTGACGTTAAGAGAAAAGAATTTCACCCTTTCTCCCTCCAGTGTTGCTTCTAATTGACCTCTGGCTGTAACCACTCTCTTTTCTAAAAATCATTTTGATGAGTCTGGGAAAAGCAGAAATACAAGCAACTATTAAATAATCACTGACATTCAAGTAATTTCATCAAAGTCTACCCTGCAGCCAATCTTTCACTTCTTTCTTTAAGGCGGAGAAAATTCTGAGCTGAATGCTGGAAGTCTTATTTAAGTCCCCTCAGTGGTAGTCATGCAACAAAATAGGCAATAATCACACCTTGTGACATGAGTTAAAAACTGTTCCTCACTATGTTTACTTCAAAAAAGGAACGACAGGAATTTTTGTGCTTATATATCACCTGGAGATTTAAAAAACTATAGAAATCTAACTAAAGCATGGTGTTTTCTGTTTGGAAAGGAAGAAAACTGTTTTATTTTCTTCTCCAAAATAAGACTTAGATACTGAATAGTACCCGTATGTTCAGTAGAATCATACTTACTTCTTACTCAGTTTAGGAGATGTTGAACAAAGCAAAAATATCCATTCCACACAGTGACAGGCATTTAAATCAAGAATTAGCTCCGTCACAATAATTAACACTGTTTCTATTGATGCCCTTTACTCCATCGGACATCTTGCACAGTATCCTTCTAGCCATGACAAGGCTGTGAACTAGACCATTCTGTGTATAGTTCAAAGCCCTGCTTTGCTGACAGATACAAATGCTATTTCATCACGGAAACATTCCTTTTCAACATTGGTTCTCAAAAGACATCTCATATCTTCAAGTAGTTGAGATTTGGATTGAACCATCTTGCTCATGGAGCCCTAAATTAAGATTAATAAATCAATCGACAGGAATTAATCTCCATCTGACAGGGAATTCTCAAAAATAAAAATGTTTTGGATAAGAACTTAATCACAGAAAAGAGATATACATAGCCTGAAAGAGGGGTCATCTCGATACAATATGGATTTTTGAATTAGATTTCTCACTGCCTCCATGGTCAGACACACCTAAACCAAGGAGAACATAAAGTAGCTTTTCTTTCCCTCATTAATCTTGGATTAAGTAACAACGTATTATCTACCTGCTAGAAGCATTCACCAAATACAGAACAAAAAATACACGGGAGAGCACAGCAGCTGCTAATGAAAACCCAATAAATGCCATTGTCCTGGGCTCAGGCCGCAATTTCAAGTAGCTTCACAGTTTCCTCAAGAGTAAAGAGTAAAGGTGATTCACTTCAACAGTTTATTACCTTGAATACTCCTTTTGAAAAACGCTTTGCAGCCCTCACAAGACCAGACCCCATAATGGTAGCCTGAAGCGTAGTCATTGCAGACAGCACAGTACCGGGTCTCCTTGGTGGACTCCATGGACAGGCTCCCTTTCTCGTTGGTACTGGACATCCTCTCCCGGATGCTGTGGCGCCTGTTATCAGAACTTGGCCTGTTAATAGCAAAAAACAAGCATAGTTCTTTCAGAAAGATTAAGTCTCATCCACTCCTGCAGATTGTAGGAAAGAAGAGCAGACCTAGTTTTGAAATAACAGATGGACCAAAAAAAACCCAACTTTTATCATCCTCTGTCCTGTTCTAGTTGGAAAGGTATAGAACCAGTAAGATACAGGGGAATTTCTCACAACTGAATCTGATGTTATTAGGCATTGTACCTTGAAAAATTAAAAAGCAATTAGATAAATTAAGCAATTTTTCTCAAGAAGAATACAAAAAAAAATCAGCATTTTTTTGGTGTGCCTGCTCCTCTCCACAGGGTTCAGCACGACTGCAGTATCAGTAGGTTGTTTCAGAATCTGAGGCAAAAATCACTTCATGTTTACACCTGAATTTGCAAGTCACTTAAATTCTTAACCAGGATATTTTCAAGTATTATTGCCCAATTAGAGATGCAAACTTTCCTTACATGGTCAAAGATATAATACTGCATAAAACAGTCGCTATTCTCATTACAATACCACTTTCATAAAAATTAAGAAGTGGTTTTAACACAACAAGAAAAGTCGGAAGGTATTAAAAACTGTTGTCAAAGAATTTTTGTTCTAGTACTGTACATGTTGCCAGGCATGCGCTAGACATACTAGACATGCACATGACTCTCATGTGCAGTATGCTGCTGAATGAAAACCCAACAAATCTATCATGTAAATGGCAACGAATTCACACCTAGTGAATCTGCTAAGAGGTTATTATGGGTAGCTGCTGCAGGCACGGTAAACAATATTCAAAAAGACGAGAGGATGTGAAATTACCAAGGGAACCAGCAATGAACTCTGGGATTGCTCTGGGAAGGCAAACAGCTCTTGCAAAACATGCTTTCCAGTAAGAGTCTGCACTACAGATTGTCCAGGAGACAAATACAATTGGGTGTGACAGCATCAGGCAAGCTAAAGCATGAAGAATCCTACTGTTTACAGTAATTATCCACTTAGCATGCATGTTTTAATTGCTGGTTAGTAAACAGGTGGCACTTATCTCCCCAGAGTCCCAACATTTTCTCAAACAAACATATCCTGGTTTTGAGCCTAGGAGACTGGGGGCTCTCTCTTTCGGATTTCTTCCTACATACCCAATTTTGCCTTATTCCCTTCTGCAGTGCAGCAGACCTTCCTTGGCTTTGATGAACTGAGGCACCTGGCACCAACAGTACCTTCCTGCTCCAAACCAGTCTTCCCCAGCAGCTTTCTGATTATGTACGCCCAACTATCCTCTTTCATCTAGCCAGAGTTCCCTGACATCTCCTGCTGCAGTCCATCTCAACACCCAAAAGCTTTCTACCAGCCAAAGCCACCTGGATGCTCTCGGGCATGCTGCCAGCCATCCCCTTGAGACTTTTTATATATGATTTCTGCCCCGAATATGATATATTTTCATTGAACAGCTTTAAATGAATACCAGTTGTTAGAGAAACATGAGGCTAGGCCATGTTAGATAGCAGAAACTGCTGCTGGCATCATTCAGGAAAACTGCATTTTAAAGTTCTTTACCAAGCCTGACATACCAGCTAATTTTGAACTCTTATTTGAGTAAGCTTTGTTTCCTTGAGACTTGTGCAAGACAGAAGAAACTTCAAATGGTGAAGTGCTGACATGGCACAACTCTGACTTTTTAGTGAGACAGGAAAACTGGAGAATGTCACGATTCTGACAACAGGAGTTTAACAAAGTAGGCAGGGGGAAAAAAAATTCCTTGCATATTTTAGATGTTTAATTTGAAAAGGTGAAAACAATATCACTAATAAATTGTTGTGGATACAACACATACATTGTTCATGTAACTACCTTTTCCAGTCGACCAAACCTACATATTTTTTTTAATTCTTCTCCAGGTCCTGAATCTTCCTCTGAATGTGTTTTATCCCAGTGAGTCATTTAGTTGACTTCTTTTTTTTCTACTGAGCACTGATCAAAGATGATGTTTCTTATCATCTCCACCCCATTCCCCCCTGCCTGCAGCTAGATCACCTAATCCATCTTCTCAGTATTACTTTAAATTAACCACGATGTGGTTTTTTAAAAAAAATATACTTTTAGGTGTATATAACTACTGGAATGTTTTAAATATTTGAAGTAAAACAGCAAGCAAGCAAATAACTGTCAATATAATTTTAAGAGCAAAAGACTAGTCTCTTAGGTATACATGACCACCTGATAGATATTAATAATTTTGGATTTATTTTTTTCCAAAACTGTTACAAATATGCATGTTATACAAGATAAGGTTCCCAAAATTATTTTCATATCAATAAGTAGTACAAATAAATTACAATTTTATAAAGTCTAACTTCCATGTTATCTTTTTTAAAAAGCACTTTAAAAAAAGAGTAAAAGAAAAAAAGAATTCAAGTTCCAAAACAATTTACTTATTTTTGCAAGTGTGTAGTAATTTTCCAACACCCACACACACACACACTTACTAAAGCAATCCTAGTTTCCTAGCTGGATACAAAAGAAAACACTTCAACTAATAGGTAAAACCAAAAAGAGTAAAGACACACCAAGAAATATCAGTCATCACTCAGTCCAGATAAATGAAATTTTCATCTTTCAGAATATTTATCTTCACTCAGATCAAGATTAGGTTCACAAATAGATTTATATTAAAATTGTATTTAAGAATAATAAAAAATTACTGAAAAATAGCCT